ATTCAATGTCACTGAGGCCCCTTACCTTCCTTCCTTGGTTTAGGCCTCATCCTCAGTAAGTAGTTGCAGTCCCCGGGACAACATCCTGACCTGACAATGTCCACTGAGACAGATAATGCCTCCTGTGGACCCTTCTTAAGAGGGAGGAGATTTTTTTTCCAGAAGCCTCCAGCAAAATTTCTTTATTATCTCAATCTCATTGGCTACAGTTGATCCACTTGCTCATGACAAAGGGGACAGAACTACCATGATGGGTTTAGATAGATAATCAGTTAGAGAATGGATGTTGGGGGACTATCACAATACCCCACTTCCTAAACGGGGTTCCTCTGAGTTTCTATATAAGATTAGCTTTTGTGACCAAAAAATTATACCAGGAAAAGGGATGGGACCTAATAGTAAAAAACTATAGATAGAGGAACTATTCCAAGAGCAAAAACACTTGTTATATGTAAAAGCAAAAAATGAAAGAGGGAAAGAATTGGAGAGATAAAGAAACACTAGTGGTTCTAGGCCCAAAAAGAGAAAAGTGGGGTATATTTTGAAATGCTGATCATGAAATCCTGTGAGATAGTCCATGTCAGATTTCATTGAGAATCACTGGTGTGTATTTTTCTGCTGTTCAACCTAAACAAGTTAAAAGTCAGACAATGATTTTGGATTGAAAAGAAATGTGCTTAAGAGTATGTATATCTACCTAGGAAAATAGGTAATCCAAACAAATATCCGATATAGTACATACATATTCCTAAACACAATCAGTGATACTCTCATTCTGTGATTAAAGGACCCACTTTTAAACAGGTATTTATCTACACACAATGTAGCTGCTAGAAAGGGGCATTTTCCTCCAGCCATCATTTGATAGATTTTTGCTCTCTTCCTAATCCAATTCTTCAACCACAACATTGCTGACCTTTAATGTATAACAGACAAGGTTCCTAACGGGTGCAAGTGAGGTGTAGGCTATAAGGAGCTGGTGTATTACAGTTGGCTTTAGAGACAGTCAGCCTTAGGTTTCAGGCCAAAAGGTGACCGACCCAGTGTGAGTTATCTAATCTGCCTTAAACCTCAGTTTTTCATCGGTAAAATGGGTGTAGGGTATTAATTATTTACTAATACCTTCCAGGATTTTGTAAGAATTACATGAAACAATGCATACAAAGAGGGTGAAGGGCTGGTTGGTTAGCTCAGTTGGTTACAGCATGGCAGAGTCTGGAGCATAGCTGGCTATAAATAAAAGTTACTTATTATTGGTTCTACAAAAGCTTCATAGCTGAGATGAGAGTGGTAGAGTGAGATATAGTAGATAAATTTGAGGAGAATAATGATATTCTAGTCACAGTTATCATTTGTTACTGGTATCTCTCACAACCAGTGAGGTAGTTTTTTTTTTTTTTGTTTTTTTTTTTGGCCCATTTCAGAAATCATGTTTCTAGAGGAAAATGAGACTCCCCAAATTCAGTAATAAGCAAATAAATTTATATTTTATGTGTCAAAGACAAGATTCACACCTGTTCTTCTGACCTCAAGTCTAATGCTCTTTCTACCACTTTTATTAAGAGAGTATTTGTTAACACTCAGTTCAAAATGGTAGACTTGGAATCCTTCAATCATGAGCTGGGAAAGCATCACAGGAATTATATTGATCTTGTAAGATGTTTTCCCAAGTCACTTGGGGATGTTGATCCTATATTTGTAGGGAAAGAGAGTGTACAATCTCCCTATTCCGCTATGTATTGATTCCTAAAATAAAAGTATACTTTGTACTGCTTTTTTGTTAATGGTTAGCCACAAGTAGGTGATTTGTAATGCCTCCAAATTTTTTCCCAACTGACTGGAATTTCACCATTAGAATAAAATTTTATTGTTTAGGTATAGCTTTAAGAAAGACCTTGTTATAATGCACTGGGTGGGAAGAGAGGAGGAATATTAACATACTCATACCCATAGTTAATCACTACTCATTCTTATCAGGTTGCTAGTTGTCTGTTCTAATGGCCCCCTTGGAGAGTACAAGCAGATCTCAGAAGAGAGCTGGATTTGAACACAGGGGTAAAATAATTCCTAAGCACGGGGAAGTGGAAAGGGCTGACACTTTTTGTCACCTCCAGGAAATATACACAGCCTGTGGGGGGGGGGGGGGGGCCTTTACAGATGAGAAGGCAGTGGAAAAAAAAACCCCAAAAACAAGAAAGGGAGGGTGGGAGGCCAGTAGTTAGTCAACCTACTTAAAATTATTTAGTCCTAGGGCTACTCCTAAAAATGATTTAGAATTCTTTCTTGCTTTAAATTTCCCATGGTTTTACTATTCAGCAAAGATGGAAAACAACTAACAGGCCATGTTAATATTTCTTAATCACTAAATACACTGAACCCATTAAATTTTGAGTCCTACATAATTTCACCTAGCATATTGTTGGTACTTGAAAAATATTTGATGAATGAATCCTTCCATGACACTGGGTCCCCCACCCCCATACTTTAGAAGTGAGTCAATATTGGATAAACTAGAATTTTAATACGTGATACAGCCTTCCAAAAAACAATACCAAAGTTTTTAAAGATCAATAACAGCATTGTCCAATAGAAAACTCTCTTATGATAAAAATGTTCTTTAATCTGCTCTGGACGATACAGTAGCCACTAGTCACATGTGGATATTGAATAGTGAACCATAGCTAGTGCGACTAAGGAATTGAATTTTAATTTAATTTAGTTTAAATGAAAGTAGCCAAGGTTTTGCTAAAAGTTTTCTGCTACTCTCACTTTTAAAACCAGCTATTTTAGGGCCGGCCCGTGGCTCATTTGGGAGAATGTGGTGCTAATAACACCAAGGCCAAGGGTTTGGATCCCTTTTATAGCGATGGCCGGTTAGCTCACTCGGGAGACCATGGTGCTGACAACACCAAGTCAAGGGTTAAGATCCCCTTACCGGTCATCTTTATATATATATATATATATAAAATAAATAAAATCAGCTATTTTAATACCATCAATCGTTACACATAAGTTCCTCTCGTTTGTGTGTGTGTGTGTGTGTGTTTTAAATAGAAATAATTGATTTACCTGTGACAACTCTAAAGGCTAGTATAGCAAAATCAAAGTGACTTGCACAGCAGCATCTGGGTAGAATTCATGTGTATCATTTTTAGGACTTGGAATATGTAGTCAATTCCTAATTTGTACTATTGACATAAAAGGAGTGAGTCTGTGTAGTTCAAACAGTGAAGCATGAGAAGTCGGCTGGGAAGTCGGCACTGACAGGCTGGCCTTTCAAGCCGGGTTTCCTTTTGATGGCCTCCCCGCTCCTCAGGAATCTGGCACCTTCCGGCTGCACCCTGAGTCCGCAGGGGCCTCTAAGGTCCCTCCCCATAGCTCTCCAACTTCTAGCTTCCTAGAGCCCTCCCCTCCCTTCTAAATCAAAATGTAACCTGAATCGTTGGCGATAACCTGCTTTAACCCTTTCTGATTTAATGGATTAAAAAAACTGCGACATTGCCAAAAACGGCGGGGGCGGGGGCAGGGCGGCAGGGAGAGTAACAGAACTAATACTGATGAACTACCTACTATGTGCCTGCTAGGCACTTTATACGCTCAGTAAAAATGTGCTGCCTGCATAAGTGAATGTTATCTCCCTGGCAAATAAATGGCGTTACAATACGGTTTTTTGGAATGGACACATACATGAACACCCTTTTCCCATGTTTAGCAGACATCATTCCCATACTGCAGAGGACACTGAAATTTAGAAAAGCTATATATAACTTCAAGGCTAAACACATATAATACTCCAACCACTTAATCTTTTTCTTTCCTTACTGTTTAACTCCTTGTCCTGTTTCCCGTGTCCTCAGGGTTTTGCTCTTCACCTTTCAAAGAGAACGACCAGGTAAACTGAGAGATTTACACAACGGGTGCAAATACGTTGATAGAACCTGCTCCCAGCCCCCTCCCCCTTTTCTAGAGCGCTTCTAATTTTAATGCCAATCTTCTGGGGACCGTGTCAACTCACATAAATGGTTCCCTCGGAATTTCACGCTGTTCAGGAGATATTTTATTTTGGTACTTTAGTAGCATTAAAAAAAAAAAAAAGTCCACAGCAGATATTTTCCTGGATTCTGGACGCTTACGTACAATCGACGCATTCATTTATAAATTAAACTTCAATAGTGTTTGCATTTTTCTAAATGCGTATCATTAGGAGTAGACGATTGATTTGTTATCGGCACCTATCACAATGGATGACTTGTAAGACGCGTTAGAGATTGGCTCCTCCCCCACTTACTCCCCCCACCCCTCGGAACCTTATATGCTTGAGTATGGTCTAAAGAAGTAGAATTTGGAAAGGATTTGAAAATCAAAATCACGGCTCTCATTTTCAGCACAAAGACCACAAACAGCGCTAGAGCCCAAGTACGTAAAATATATCACATCCAGAAGTTGGAGGGCTACAAAGTACAAGTCGTCCAGGCCAGTCTGCAGACTGTTCATGCTTCCTCTCTGCAAAAGCCTGGCCGGCGACACGTCGCGACGAATTTCAGCTGCAGAAGAGGAAGAGCATCACCTGCAGTCCGAGGCGTGGGAAACGCTGCTGGGGGGTGGGGGGGTTGTAAGCCAGAGAGGTGAGCGCAGCGGGGCTCCAGGCCGCTCAGGAGCCGAGTGCGAGGAACGCCAGTGCACGACGGAGCCCGGGAGACCGGGCAGGGTGGAGGAGGACAGCGGTTCCACCGTAGGGACGGCTGCAGACACCGCAGCAAGGGAGCCCGCGGCAGCCTCCGCGCGCGCCGCCGCGACTGCCGGGTCGGCGGACCCAGCCGGAGAATCCCGTGGACTCCGGGGAGCGGGGGGCGAGGCGGGGCGCTGACGTCACCTCCCCTCCCCCAAGTCCTCCAAGAGGGAGGGAGTGGGGGAAAGAGGCAGCGATCCGCCGCCGCTCCCGGCCACAACTCCTCAACTCGGCGGCTCGCTGCCTGGACATGTCCTGACAAACTTGGCTTCTCCTGGGCCCCCTCTCTAGCCCTCGCGCGCTCTCTTTTCGCCTCCTTTTGGGGCTCAAGTTTCACTCTGGTCGGAAGCCTCCGGAGATGCGGCCACCTGGGTCCGGGCAGCGCGGGTGGATGGCACTCCGGTTGGTGATATGCTGAAGATTGGAGGGAGGCAAAGTTGGCACTTCAGGCACGGCTAACAAACATCCAAACCGCCTGGGGGGTTAGGGAGCTGCCGAGGACTTGAAAGCGGAGCATCGAGGACTCAGCTAGACTGGTGAGTTCTTTGTTTAGTGCATGCCTTTTTGTGTTTAAGTTTAAACGTAAATACAATTACGTGGGGTGTTTGGGTCTAAGCGAGTGCAGGGGAGCGTGTGCATCTTACAGGCTCTCCGCTCAGGGAGCTGCACCTCCTCTGGCTGTGCATGGCTCGGCAATGAAGGATCTGTGTGAATATCTTTTGGAATTCGTAAAAATACATACGGAGCACTGTTCAAAAGAACTTGAAGCGATGCTGTTTGTGCATTATTTTGAATGTAACTTATTATAGAAATGGTGCCTAGGGAGGGCGCATCGGAGACCGCGTGATCTGCAGTGGCGCAGCGCCCTCTAGCCCGGGCACCGAGCAGGGTGCGCTCCTTGCCGGGTTCCTCTCGGAGGCGAACTTGAACCCGCCGGGCGCTCCAGGAACGTGGGCGCGAGCTCACCCTAGCCCTCACTTACCACCCTCTCCGGACCATTATTTATACGATTTCCAAAAATCAGGTTGGGTGAACCGGATGCAGAGGCAGCGCTGGAGGAAAGCGTTTTTGTTTAGACAACCGTCCCCCTTCCCCAATTTCCAGGAGCCTTTGGGGACGGGGTTAGGAAGTCGGCAATTTAAAAGACAACTGTGGAAACTGAGCCACGTTTCCTTCTTTCGTGTGAAGGTAATTCGATGGTAGCCCAAAAGTTACTTGCATTTCGTTCTGTTGGGGCTAAAGAATCAGTAAAATCGTGGCAGCGCCGGAGTCTGAAATCTGCATCTCTGGCTCACGGCGGTTCCTGTGGTGACGAAGTGCAACTTCTTCAGGCAACTGGGTTTCTCAGTGAGCCTGGAAAATCAGGATTCCCAAACATGTTTTAGTCCTAGTAAGCGTTATTATTTATTAATGAATGGTACTTTTCTCCAGGAATAATTCTGTGCATTTAAAAAATCCTGTGATTTTACGTTACCGAATGGTATCTTTGTACTCTTTTACTGTTTTCCCTTCCCCCGGCCTCTGTCCCCTCTCACCTCCCAACAAACGGCTGGCATTCCTGTGGGCTGGCATTCCTGTGTGGCTGTGTTTTGCTGAGAGTTAGAATTCGGCAAGGGGCGCAAACCGGTTGAGCCTGGAGATCAGGTCACCCACTTTCGAGGTGTTCCATGTATGACACTAACCTGTAACTACAGGAGCACTTTGCGCAATTATGGCCGTGGCCAACCCAGTCTTTGGGTTGGTGTCTGTATTTGTGGGTGTGTGAATTTGTGTGTATTCTAAATCGTGAGCGGGGAACATAGTGCTACGAATCGGCACCCGTTCTGTAGGCATCATGGTTTTCTTCCCGGTATAACCTGCTAGACACCTTTATTTCTTCAGTCGCCTTCTTTAAGATGGCTTGTGAAGTGACTGCCTAAGTCCTCTTTAACACCGGGCACTCGCTCCTATCTGCCTCGTCGTCCCCCTGCCGCCCCTCCCGTGGTCCCAGGGAAATCGGATCTCTTTGTCCTCACAGTATGAAACTGTTCGAGCCCCACAAACTTTCCCAAGTCATGTCCGCCCTCTTCTCCGGGCTGCGGCTGCGGCTGCGGCTGCGGCTCCGCTGCGCCGAGCCCGCGTCTGGAGCTTTGCCCGCGCCGGGGACGGGCTCACAGCCCCGGGACGCGCCGACCGGGCGCCTCGGCGCCGGAGGGAGATCCCGGAGTGGGGCGTCTGGACGCCCGGGGCTTCCCCCTTTTCCCCAGGGAACTCGTGCTTGTGGGATGGGGTTCACAGTTTGCGGGCCCACGGGGGCGGACTTACCGGCTAGGAAAGCGCACGAGGCGGCACAGCTGCCTTTTGTCCCGCAGACCCGCGAGTCGGGGGGTGTCCGCCGGGGGAGGCCGGCGTTGGGGTCGCTACCGGGGACCGCGAGGTTCTGGGCTCTAAGTAGCTCTGCACAAAGAGGTCGCGGAGAAAGTTTCCATTTTTTCCCCCGGGGACTTGGTGGAGATTGAAGGAGGAAGCAGATTCCGATCTAGCTGCATTCCTGAGACCTTTGGGAAGATTTTATCCCACCGAGCAATTGCGGGCCCTGAACCGAGGAATTCAACTACAGATCCAGGAATTCCCTGGAGGTCCTAGAAGTCCAAAGGCATGCGAAAAGCTTTTTCATTAGGCCTTAGCTGACTTTTTCTTTTTTATTTATTTTTTTCTTCTTTTTTCCTTTTTGAGCTCAGCTAATGTTTCCCTTTTCCTAGCAGGGAACGTTCCACATTAGTTCTTGCACAAACGTCTGTGTGCTGGCCCTAACTAACCTCTGCCGCAGAACAGCCCCCAACTGTTCCTCAGTGTTGCAAGATCACCCGGGCACTTGCTGGTCTCCTCACCGCACAGAGTTGGCTTTTGCGAGGATAGGAGTTCTTCCCACCCCGGGAGGGGGGCGTCGCTGCCCGGGGCCCGCGGGCCGAGTCCGGCCGCCGGGGAAAGTCGGCTGGAGTTTCCGCGCTGGAGAAACGAGCGCCGGCGCTCGCGGGCGGGGCCGCGGGCGGAGGGATATCCTTGCGCGAGGCGCGTGAGGCGCCGGTGCCGAGCAGCCGGGCGGCCTCGGAGCGGGGCGCGCGGGCTGCGAGCCCGGCGAGACTCCCGGCAGACCTGGCCTCCGCTCGGGGGCGCGCTGAGGCGGCGAGGTGCGCGTCCCGAGAGCGCCGTCGCCACTTTGGGAAAAGTTTGTTGTAAGTTTGCTAGAAATGAAGTTCGGGCTTGAGGGAGAGCGGGCGAGGGGCGCCGCAGCGGCCCGGCGGGAGCCGTCTGTGCCCCGGGCGGCGTGCACCTGGCTGCTTCGGGGTCGCGGGCTTGCGGCTGGGTGGGTGGCATCCCCAGGCTATCCGGCTCAGGACAGCGCTCCTGCCGGGGTTGCCGAACCTTGGATGAAAGGAAGGACCCCTCTGGGAGGTGGTAGTGACTGGGGTCCTTCCCATTTGGAAAGTTCAGTCCTGGCCCTGGATTCCAGGAGGCTTGGGGAGGATGCGGAGGCGGAGCGGCCGGGAGGGGGTGGGTAATTGGCGGCGTGAACCGAATGGTCATTCCCGAGCAGGCTCCGCTGCTAGCCGGCAGTAGGCGGCGGCGGCCTCCGCTGCGCGCGGTCTGGTCCTGGAGCCATTGCTAGAAATCAAAGCGGCGGCCGCCGCGCGGGGCCACTGGGCGGCCGGGAGGTTGGGAACTGCCGCTGCGCCCGGGAACTCGGAAACTTCCCAGCGCGCCCCGCTTTCCCGTCCCCGGTAAGGCTCCTGCCTGCTAATGACTTCACTGATCTCGCTGCCAGGTAATTCTTTCTGCGTTTGAAACATTCACAGAGTGGGTGAGATGGAAGGAACGCCAGCAGCTAGGAGATGGGGTCTTTGCAATGGAGTCGCAGAGTCTCTTAGATGTCTTGTGCCCCGAAAGAGCGCTGCCCCCGGGTTTGAATGCAGCCGGCTGAATGCAGATTGAATAGGTGCGATGGATGGATGGCGTTGCTCAACTTTTGCAAAATGTGCGGTTTGTCAGTTGTCTGTTTCCATCTTCTCTGGAAGGGAAATCTATGAGATCTTTTAGAAAGAAAGAGATTCTGGTTCTTCAGTGCTTTTTCAGATTCAGGGTACTTTCTTTGAGGAAGCTAACAACTTTCTGTTGTTTCTGTAAGATTTTTTTGTTCCTGCTGATGGGAATTGCAGGGCTTTGGAAACAAGGACGCAATTGTGTGCATTAGGAAAGTAAACTCATAAATATTTTCTATGTTAATTTTTTTTTTTTTTTTTTTTTTGTGCGTGTGT